TCGTCTTCATTATTATTGCTCTGTTTGGAATTATAATGGCTGGGATATGATCGCTGTCGCACAGGACGAGGCTAAACTGTGTCTTGTCTGGATGAAGAGAGTACCTTCGCCCTGATTTAAGGTCTTACGATGGCCCTTCTTGGTTCTTCAGGTCTTGGTGGGTTCACAGCACATCTCACCCGCTTTTTGGTAAGTCTTGGGGCAGTTTTGCTGTGGTTTCTATTTGGTTTCTGTAATGGGAACTCCAGTTAACTCCTTTGACATGGGGAACAAGGGTTTCTGTAATGACAGGTCCTATCTGTGAGCCATTTCGTTGCATCGAGTGGTAGAGGTACGGATAATTATAAGGGTAAATTCAAGTGTGAATTAAATTAAATTAAACTAAGCCGCTCTGTGTCGAAATGTGTCGGAAAGCACTTCAGGACTGTCAAAGGGTCATGACTGCCAGATGTTCCTTTGTCCTTGCTCTGTCAGACGTCCATTTCTGGGAACGGAAAATTAATTTCATGATTTTTATTATTGTTGATCATTACTTCGTTATCATTACTTTAGTGCCAGTCTGATAATCATTTCCTAATTTGAATTGTTATAGTAATATTTGTGGATATACACAGTCTGAGTTTATATCAACACGTTCAATATCACATTTACGGTCATAGTTGTTCAATAAAACACGTCACTGAATGTGCACTGGAGGAAGTGATTACCAGATATGCAGTATTATAATTGGCTAGGATTTCTCTGAAAAAAAACTGAAGTAATTTCTTTCTTCTATCTGTTTTGCTTGTTCTGTATGAATAAGAACATATTTTCTGTTGACACATATAGTACATAGTATACTCTCGCTTTAGTATCAGACTCTCTCACTTCATAACCAATCTCTTCCACTTCTGCGCCAATTTTATCCACTATCTCTCAGCTCTTTATTGCTCGCACATCCAACTCTACACTGTTTATCGTCTGCTCCTCCACCTTTTCTCCACCGCCGGTTTGCAAATACACACTTTAATCCACAGACATTGTCCAGAGAACATCCAACTCTGAAATACACTTTGACGATTCTACTTCTCACCACGTAACCATCATAAGTTCATGTACACCTTGCCATGAACCAATTAAGGTGTACATTACCTCCTGGTCCCTGTATTCATTATTTTTTTCTCACAGTCATGGCATTCAGTACCTTCTAATTCTTTACTTATTTAGCATTATCTTTCTAATCCTATTCTAATCATATCTTCTGATCGACAAGAAACAGTGATGCAATTGCAGTCATGTTCTTTACAGACAAAACCATTCTTATCTGATTTTATGGTCTCCTGAGGTCGTTGTCGCTTCATCAACCTTATAAAAATAATTTGACCAAATCATGGGTCATCGTTCATTATCCCATCTCCTTAATTAAAGAGATTATGTACCAATTCCTCCACTGATGTTGCAGCAGCCATAATTTCACCAGAATCTGTCTGCTTCAGAAGTCCTTGATATGCCCCAGATGACGACCTCCTCCTCTCCTCCTCCTCCTCCTTTTCTCCTCCTATCCCTCCTCTTTCTCCTCTCCCCTCCTCCTTCCCTCCTTCCTCCTCATCCCTCCCCCCTCCATCCTCCGCCCTACTCCTCCTCCCTCCTCCTCTCCTCCTGCCTCCTCCTCTCCTTCCTCTCCTCTTCTCTCCTCCCCCCCCACACCTTCCTACCCTTCCTCTCCTCACCTCCACACTCCTCTTCCTCCTCTCCCCCCCTTCCCTCCCCTCCCCCTCCCCTCCTCCTCCTCCTCCTCTCCCCCTCCCCATCCTCCTTCCCCCCTCCTCCCTCTCCCTCCTCCTCCACCCACCTCCCTTCCTCCTCCTCCTCCTCCCCCCGACTCCTCCTCCTCCCTCCCCCTCCTCTTCTCCTCCTCCCTCCTTCCCTCCTCCTCCTCCTCCTCCCCTCCTCCACCCTCCTCTCCTCTCTCCTCCCCAAGCAGTCGCCTGTACCTGGTATGTGAGTCGCGTTAGGTGATTTGCAACAGGTAAGGGAGTCGGTTTCCGTGTGCAGCTGACCTCGTGTAACTAGGCTGGCACCGAAGACATTATATTACAAGATGTTTTCTGAAGGCTACCGGTCTCATCACATATCTCTGTACGATATTTTTCATCATTATTACGGTTGTTATTGTTGTTATTGTTATATTACAAAGATATTTCTGAAGGCTACGGCCATTCTCATCACACATCTCTGTACGATATTTTTCATCTTTATTACGGTTGTTATTGTTATATTACAAAGTTATTTCTGAAGGCTACCGGTCTCATCACATATCTCTGTATGATATTTTTCATCTTTATTACGGTTGTTATTGTTATATTACAAAGATATTTCTGAAGCGGCCATTTCTCATCACATATCTCTGTACGATATTTTTCATCATTATTACGGTTGTTATTGTTATATTACAAAGATATTTCTGAAAGCGGCCATTCTCATCACATATCTCTGTACGATATTTTTCATCATTATTACG